AGACATGGAAGCTAAGCGCTTGCTCCACAGTGTGGCCTCCTGTCAGCCTGCTGCCTCTCAGCTTCTCCTCTATAAAAACTGGAGCTGCTGTGCTCATGCAGAACGGGGAAGAAACATGGCTCCCATTTGCCTTCACAGACGTCTCTGAAGGCTAGAAAATAAAAACATAGCAGTTGCGAGATATTTCCTCTGAGAAGTTGATGAAACTTAAGAGTTATCTGTCCCCACAAATACAAATATGAAATTTTGCAAATGATTTCAAGAGGCGCATGAACCTCCGAAACACATTTTATTTATTTTTATAGCAATGGAATGACATAGGAAAGGGCTATCTTTTTTACCCTAATTGAATTTTAAATGTTCTTTTGAGACAAAAAGGCATACGTGACACAGCTACACAACTTTTTTTCAACTGGACAGCAAGTGTCAAAACCCTGTGGATGTATAAAGTAAATAATTGGTCTGGAAAAGAGAATTGTTCATAAAACTGATGATCTGACACAATGCCCTGTTGCAATTTCAAAAAAAAGTTTATTTTCAGTTTATTCATGTTTATTTTTGTGGTATTTTATCCCTCTTGATAAAAAATGACACTTCTGTGATTTGTGTATGCTGATCTTCATCAAAAGTTTCATGCTCTGGATCCGAGGCTGTGGCATCACATCAGACATCTAGTGACCAAGCTTGTTGTCACTGACATTTGCTGATACAAAAGTGAACTGCTAACCTCTAGATTTGATGGCTTCACCTTACAATTAGGAGAAAAATATTGGTTGGCCTTGTCTTCATTTGCTTTGTCAAGATCACTCCTTGGTAAAGTAAGTACTAGATATTCCTTACCATTATTTGCATGATTCTTTTGATCACATAGACTTCCACTGAGACACAGTTTATAAAAACCTATGGATCCATAGATGACAAGATAGGGCACAGGCCTGTCTTGAGAACAGGCCAAAGGAAGAGTGGACACCAGTGTTTTTATATAACCCAGGCTCAGATGGGCTATGTATAAAAATGAAAAGTGAATAGTTTGTTTTTCATTCTCTCTCCCCTTCCTTCACCATCCCCCTTTCTTCTCTTTTCTTCTTCCTCCTTAAGAATAAATCCTAGCTGGGCATGGTGGCACACATCTATAATCCCAGCTATTCAGGTGGCAGAGATCAGAAGGATTGTGATTTGAGGCCAGTCTGGGCAAAGAGTTAGTGAGACTTTTATCATAACAAACAAGCCAGGTGTGGTGCTACACATCTGTAATCCCAGCTATGCAGGAGACATAGGTAGGAGTATTGTGTTCTGAGGCTGGCTGGGGCAAAAAACATGAGGTCCATCTGAAAAATAACCTAAAGCAAAAAGGGCTAGGGGTGTAGTCTGTTTAGCAAGCTTGAGGCTCTGAGTTCAAACCCTTTGGCACTGCCAAGAAAAAAAAAGAATAAATTCTCTATCCCAGTCTTGCTTTTTACCAGGATATAATAGTTACCAGTGAAGTAGAAGTGTGATACTTGCAGACAAATGCAGTCAGCTCTGCTCTAATGTGACATAAAGTTCATAAAATCACTGCACCACACAGAAGTGCACGATAACCACCACAGGCTTATGAGGAAAATGAGATTGGGTGCAACACTAAAAATGTTATCAGTGATAGTGAAAAAACAAGATAGGAAGCTAAAAGGGACAGCAGTTTTAGACATGTTAAATGATTAAGAAACAGAATAAGGACAATAAACATGGCACTTTGCCTAGAAAAACAGCTGAAGTTTGCTCCTGCAGGTGGGTGTTGGAAGGGGTACAGTTTGTGACTTATTGTGGCTAAGCAGGGCTCTCTGGGATGGAAACTTGTGACAGTACATGTGAATGGGTGTGGCTCACTATGCATACCACGAAGCAGCAGAGCTTGTGAGGAGACTGGAGAAGCGTGGCATTTTGTGCTTCCTTCTGTGGCTCTGTTCAGCTAGATGCAGTTTTCTGTATTCACCCAGTGTTTCTTGCAAATTGCACATAAGACAACACAGAACTATTGCTATATTCAAATTATCCCTTGATATATTATTCCCATTAGGGTTAATTCTCATTTTCAAAACAAGTGTTATAGCAGGACTGCTTGCATCCAGACTATACAAGTGATTAAAATTGAAAGAGTAAATCCATTAAAAGCCCATTGAAAGGATGCTGAAAAGGTAGCCATAGGTTATATATCTAAGCAGAGTGATCTGTTTTGTCTATGTGATTTAGATAAATCTGGCTTCCTTGCTCAACATAGTGATAAATTCAAATGAAAGGCAAATTTGACTTCATAACTTTGGAAACTTACCGTCAATCCTGACCACAGTAAATCTTCAGCGTTAGGAAATCCAATCTTCCTGGAAAGTCCTCTCACATTTTTAATCCTAAAGTTCCATACATACAACAGCCAAATTAATATTACTTCCCCCTCTTCTTCACATGTCCTTGTCTCTCTGCTTGCATATTCCAAAAGCCCAACAAAAATTCTAGCCTTTGCTGATTCTCTCCTTATCACCCTTCCTCTCTCTCCACTTTCTCTGCCTTTTTTCCAAGAGTAAAATTCCATATCCACATTTATTAATTTTTTTATTGTTCCTGTAACAAATTGCTACACACTCAATAGTTTAAAACAATCCAAATTTATTACAGTAGAATTCTGACAGTCAGAAGAACAAAATGAACTTTACATGGCAAAAGTCAAGGTGCAGGCAGGCTTGCATTCCTACTGAAGGCTCTAGAGGAGTTTCTACTCCTTGACTTTCCTAGCTTCAAGAGGCCACTTTCATTCCTTGGCTCTGGCCCTGCATCACTCTAATCTCTGTTTCTGTCATCACATCTACGTCTCTGATTTTGATCCTCCTGCTTTCCTTTTATGAGTCCAGTGATTTCAACTAGGTATTCCAGGATATGCTTCCCATCTCAAGAATACCTTTTGTCATGTAAAGTACCACATTCACGGATTAGCACAAGGACATCTGGGAGGGGATTATTTAGTCTCCCACAGCAGAGGTGATATTCAAAATGCATTACAACTGTTACGCCACTTACAGCAGGAATTCTGACTCTCAGAAAAGTCTTAGGTTCTAATCCTCCACCAGGGCACTGAGGACCCTTAATGTATGGTTGATGGATTACAGTGAGGGCTGAGAGGTCTCAAGGAGGGACTGGGGTGTCTAGCCTAATGGTGAGGCACTCAGGGCCATTAGCAATGGCCCCCTGCAGGCAGTATGACTTCCAACATTTTTTACAATTATTAAAGCCACATCCACGTATTCTGGCTCAACACTGACCTGCCCACGTGCTTCTTTCTGCAATCTATAAATTCTCCTTTCCACCCTCATCTCTGACCATCAAGCAAACCTCCTGAGACTTCATTCTGTCCTGGGCTTAGCCCTTTACTTGGAATGTCTCATTTCAGCCTCATTGCAACTCAATGGTTAGATTCTATACTCCCTTTGCAATAGTATGTGTCATATGTGTTCTTAATTGTTAGAATCTAGATTGAATTCAAGCACTTTCATTCATAAATTGGGTCCTTAACCACTGTGACCAGTGTCCTCAAGGAGATGGACATCTATTTAGACAGATTAAGGACTGCACATATACAAAAACCATGTAGAAAATGCTGAGAGTAGAGTGTCAATCCTTAGTGCATATGAATGAGTAAATTTATTCAGAGCCCTCCTTACAGAATTCATTGATTATAGGGAGGACTTCTTGATCATATTGTAAGAATTCTCATGTAATTCTCATATATAGTCAAGCCTTGAATAGATATTCTATGATAAAAAGACCACAGTAAATCTTCAGAGCAAGTCAAGTTTAAACTCGAATTTATATTGTCTGTATAACATTCTAGAAGAGTTCTATGTGTAAGATCTAAGTGACTATGATCCAGTAGCCCTTTGGTCTACAATATTATATTCAACTTTACTCAAGTGGGCAGAGTCACAGGAGCAAGAGAAACAGAAAAGAGGAAGGTGATAAAACAATTTCTGTGCTTCGAACTTTTTATTAACCTCTACCTGATCACAGATGCAGATAGAAATGTGTTGCTCATACCCAGAGGAAATAATATATAACAGAATTAACCAGCACTACCTTAAGATAAAAAGATCCACTTATGGGTATTTTTGATTTTGACATTTGAATAACTTTTTGACTTGGACAGTTATGAGTAATAGCAGTTTTCATTCATTTAATAGATGCATTAAATAGAAGAGATGGGTATTAGAGAATTTGTATGTGCTTATTTTAATGAAGGTAGAGTAAGGTCCTTGATGGGGAGATAAATGTTCTAGTGTTCATTAGATTCACTTATGATGTCTATAAATCGGATTGTTAAATAAAATGCCAGAAACCAACATCAATGTTATTTAAAGATGCTTTGGTGAGGAATTAGAAGCTAATTCTATTTTAAACCCTTGGAATCTGATAAAAACCTAAAATTCTCTTTCTAGTGAGGAAACTACATCCTTTAGGTAAAGTTTCCTAAGAGTTAACCTTTCCTACCTTTATGATGGAATGCAGGATGATTTCAGTCAAAAGACTTGTAGTCATACCATAAGAAAAAGTCCTGCAAGAAAGCATATATTGCCACTTTACTCATTATTGAAGTGCCTTATGACTGTCAGAGAGAACAGGTAAGATGCTGGAGGATGCAGAGAAAAAGAGATCAAAGTGTTTTTGTTTACTTCTTTGAAGTCATATAGTACCTACTATTTACCACACACACTTCTTGATTCATGCTGAAAATTGGAATTCACCATTTCTCTCTTTTTCCTGTCTAAGATGCACATGGGGCACATTTCGTTAACTCCATCAATCCCTGCCCCCACGCATTAGCACATGCACACGTATACATAGCCAGTGGAAAAGAAAAAAGAGTTACTCACATTCATCCATTTTACAAAGATTTCCAGGCTGCAATGGGAGGGCTTTACCTCTCCTTGAAGGATAAATAAATAGGTAGCTGTAGTGACAACCTGTTCACAGGCAAACTGAAGTGAAAACAAGACCAAGGTCCTGCTCTACTGTACTTATCAGACCCAGTCCTGGCAATGGAGAGAATAGTTATCTGTCTGATGGTCATCTTCTTGGGGACAATGGCCCATAAATCAAGCTCCCAGTGGCCAGATCGCCTCTTGATTAGAGTGCATCAACTTATAGATACTGTTGATCAGCTGAAAGATTATGTGAATGCCTTGGTAAGACCATACTTGTCACAACAAAATTTATATAATATTTTCAATTATTATAAAAGGAGCCTTTTGACTTATGAAAATAACTCAGAACTAATTTATTTTGCTCTAGGACCCCGAATTTCTGCCAGCTCCACAAGATGTCAAGGTAAGACTTGTTGAATTTATTTCTAAAAATATATTTGCTATTTAACTTTTAAGATCAATAAGAAAGGCATTAGGATAGTTATTTATGAATAGTATTAATTTTGGGGTTTAATAATTGTTAAAATATTTGTTCCTATTTTAATCAAATGTTAATAGATTTGACAACAAATCAACCTATGCTATATTACATTCTTTATAAAGTATGTATCTTCAAGTATTTCTAAGAATACTCTGAAGTTGTATTGTCAAGACAGAATAACAAAAATACATACAAGAAATCTGTATTATGATCAGTTTTTAAACAATGAACAGTTAATTACATTTTAAAAGACATTGGGCATGAAAGTTCAGGCACTTTCTTTGTAATTTTATGTAAGAAATATAGATACATGCCATAAAAAGCAGAATTCATCTTTTAATGCCAAATTAAAAAAACAAACAGAAGAGTGAATGAGCTCACAAGGGAAGAATGGAGGAATAGGCATGTGGAAATCAAAGCTGTTCTTTAGAGGGAGATACACACATACCGTGGCCTCAGTGACTCCTTGCTGTCCTTGGTCTTTGCTGAGGTCTTTTGAAAGGACCATTTTCAACAATGCATTCCATCTTGTGAGCCATTTAAACCGAAGTCCCAGGGAGAAGAGCCTGGCATAGAGTTGAAGAGCGGTGTCTGCTCATCTTTTCCCCCAGCAACCTCTTCAATTTGTTCTTCTGCATTGGTACCTTGATGATATAAATGCAATTGTTTTCATTGTTACTGACCTTTAATTGCATAAATTAGGATAACTATGAAAGTGCTACCAGTAATTAGGACACTATAAAGGCGAGACTTATGAATATAGATTGCAAAGAAAACAATTATCGTAAATGACTGTGTAAAAGTTTAGAAAGTGAATGAGTCACAACTATTGCTTTTTTTCTAAAATTCACTCTCTAGCTCCGAACATAGCCACTCTCATATTTACTAGGTCCTGTTCTAATAAGCGTCTTCCAAAATGAAAGCACACTCAACTTATTGAAAACACTTTTCCAATAACTGAGAATATTTGTTGATGTGTTTAATTATGGAAACGTACATTTCTCAGTATTTCATGCACATTGTTTAACTACTGTTTTTAGGGTCCTTCCCAGCATTTCCTAGCTGTAGTCTGCAACTTGCAAAATAACAAATAAGAAAATATCCTATCTTCTAACTTGAGTCCATCCAATGGGCACTTTCTTTTTATGCTTCATTAATGAAAGACTTTTAAGTTTAAATTTTCCAGTAGCCATGCTATAATTTTTCTTTATTATTATTAATGCTAACACATATTAATTGTGCAAATTAATGGGATTCAGTGTGACATTTCCATACATGCATGCATTGCACATTGATCATGTCCATTCACCCTTCTTCTACCCATCCCTTCCACATTCTTCCCATTTCCTAGTTATCTGTCTTCTACTGAAGTATTCTTTTCATCTTACATCATAATGAAAGAATTTTGTCTCAGAGATACTATATCTTTCTGATTATCTGATCAAGTCGTGCTGTCTATGATACAAATGAGTAGTAGTATAACTAAGATCTTTAAGTTACAGTGGCAGGAAAAGTCAAGAAGGAAGAAATAGTAAAGCTGTATTAGTATTATATCAAGTTTTTCAGGGCTAACATCAAAGCAGGATCTGTAATAGATTTTAAAAGATTAAGAAGTTTAATGAAAATAAAACCATTTAAATGCTGCATTTATATTGTGATTATCTAATATCTTTAATTGGTCTCACCAGGCTTCTCTTACTCTCCATCCTTTCCTTTCTCTTACTCCCTCCCTCCCTTTCTCTCTCTCCCCCCTACACAATTTTTCCTCCTCCTTTTCTTCGAATAATAATGGAAATAATAGTAATAATAACAATACAGCTAGATGTTGTCAAGTGGTGGTGATTTTCCAAAGAACATTTGATATTGTCTGGAAAAATTTTTGTTTGGTATAATTGGTGGTGGGGGTGAGAGTTCTACTGATGTCTAGTAGTTAGAGGCCAGGAATGCTACTAAACATTCTAGAATATATAGGATGAGTCTATACAGCAAAGACATATCCAGTCCAATATGTCAAAAATGCAGCTATTGGGAACCCTGATATAAACCTAGTTTGTGTAGGGGACAAAGGTAATCTAACCCAGTTAGAGAGATGTTCTAAGGTGAATGGCCATGGCTTTCTTTGCAAAAGAAACAAAACACATAAACAGGTTAAAAATAGACTTTAAGGAGATAAATAGGTTCAAATATTCAATGCAAAACAACAGAGCCATGTGTGCTTTTTTTGAAAAGCAGTACTTCACTCATTCTCTGGATGAAAAGAGGAGTGGTTTTTTGCTCTTCATTTTGACTTCTTTATTCTTCCCTCTAGTTTGCAAAACCAATGAAGAACCATAAAACTCCTCATGTTTAAGAGATAAAGGAAACAAAGCCTTGCCCTCAGAGTTTGCTGCTACCAAATCACTGCAAAGGAAAACAGTGGTTATGCTCCCAGGAGGTACTTAGCATGGACTTTGTCCATGCTAAGAACTCTTGAATGACAAAGCACCCAAAGGTGCCTGAATCAATGTTAATCTCTCCACTCTTTTCCACATATGCCTTGGGCTGTTAGCAGGGACAGCTCCTCCACTTTTTTCCTCATTGAGGCTGCCTTTAATGTCAATCAAAAGTCAAATTTGGCAGTTACTTGTCCTGGACCACACATTACTAGTGACAGCTCTGTTTCTTGTAAGACAGAACAAAATGAAGCACCATTGTCTATAAATGCAGGTGGATAAGGGAAGGTGGCATAACCCACCAGGGTGGGCATCAGCATCCAGATGTCATGGAGCATTCCTGGCATTCTATTCTCTCAAGGGAGCTCATTAGGTAGGGGCCCCTACTTCTTGGGAAACTAATTTTCTTTCAACATACAAATGAAAATGTTAAGTCAGCAAAATGGGCCTCTGTGAGAAATGCTGGTTTCTCAGATCATCACGGATGAAGCAGTTAGTGTTTTCAGTTTCAGCTGGAAAATTTACCTCTTTAAATATGAATATTATTTTTTTCCAGTAAGTTAAGCCGGTTGTGGTCAAAAAGAAGAGAAAAGAAAAAAACTTCAACAAACATGAACATGTGGTTTTCAAGGAAAAAAAAGTGCTATAATTAACATTTATAAATAGTTTCTATTAAATAAGCATTTTGGCAAACATGGAAAGGACACCACCTTGCCCTTATGAAAAGCAAGCTGCCCTGATATAAGGAAACCAGATAAGCTGGTTCTCAGCTTGTGGCTATATATGCAAAGCAAACCTGATGGGTTTGTGCCTTAAAGATGCATGTTATTAATCAACATTCATGTTGGGTAAGCATATGGGTTGGAAAATGCAAAGCAGGCTAGATGCTATTTTCAGCTGTTCGTGGTTCATGAAAGGATTCAGGTAACATTGCTCAGTGAAAGACCACTTTTGCAGGCACTGGGATGGATTGAGCTTTCTGGTTATAAGGTAGTGCCTTCCAAACACATTAGTGAAATGAAGATATAGCAACCACAGAGGGAAAACAGCATCTCATGCACACATTTGCTGAAAGAAAAAAGAAAAACAAATTGGATGCAAGTAAGCCAGATCCGAGTTCTTAGCTCAGCATTAAAATGTTCTCTAGTTGGTACAAATTTTGCTTTTCCAATGTATTCCACTTCCTTTCAGTTCACTGGTCAGTAGTTATTTTGCCAAGGTTTTGATCCTCTTTCTGTCACTTCCCTATTCTCTTAAACACTACTTTTACCTTCTAAGGAATGGTCTTTCCTTCTATTAGTTGAACATATCTCCAATTCTGTTCCTCAGTTGTTTAATTCATGCAGAATCTTACCCTAACTTACCTGAAAATGTGCACAGGATTTTAGAAAAGTTATGCATGGTTCAAAACAAATGTATTGAATCTTAGAATATGCCATCAGATGTAGGTTACCCAATTCCTTTCCCCAATGAGGGGTTTTACTTGTTTACCTCATCTATAGACTCCACAAATAGACATTGGGCATCTACTAACAGCAAGATACTATGTCAAGTCCTGTACAGAATAAAATGCTGCCCATTACATGGCACTGACAGACACTCCTATGTATACCACAGGGAGAAACAGCAAACAAATAAAATATTCTTCATAGACTAGAGAATAGCTTATCAAATGCTGCAACCTGGGGATGTAACTCAGTGGTAGAGCACTTGCTTTGCATACGTGAGACCTTGGGTTCTATCCCCAACACCTCACACACAAAAAAGGAAAAAAAAAAAAACCCAAAACACAGAATCCTACAAATGTCATCCCACCACCCAGATCTTGGAATGGCTCTCAGTACAGAATTAGGAATAAAGAACTAGAAAAAAGTGAGTCTCCTTTCTCTTATCTCTGAGAGGCAAGAAAATATCCCTTCTTCCCTAAGATGAGGGGATATTTACATACATGTACCTCCATCTCTTCTGGCCAAAGAGTACATGGAGGCGAAATCAGAGTTAATTTATCTGTTGAAATAATTGTGATCCAAGGCAATTTAGTACAGGTAGAGACAGATTAGGAAAGTCATTTTCAACTTTCTGAATAACTTTCATTAACATATATGCTAATTATTTCACTTTCAGGGACACTGTGAACAGTCAGCTTTTGCATGTTTTCAGAAGGCCAAACTCAAGTCAACAAATGCAGGGGACAATGAAAAGATAATCAAAGGATTAGTTAAACAGCTGAAAAGAAAACTACCACCTACAAAGGCAGGGAGAAGCCAGGAACAAAGAATGGTAATATTGTCATTTGTCATGTATCTTATTTGCATTTATTAACTATAATGTAATATGCTTACAATCTTGCACACACATACACACACACATGAAGTTTCCAGTGCCTTCCTGAGCAGTTATACCCCATTATGCTTTTTCATACTGGTGCACTTGAGAAGTGGGGGGGTCACCTCTTTTAAGTTCACAGACTTGAAAGTGACCCAATTAGAATATGCTAATAGTCCCTGGCAGCTTGAATACCATATAGTTTCCCAAGGTGAGGAAGTCATTAGAAAGAGAGCTCAATTGTGATTTAGGAGTTAAGAAGTATTTTCCTCTTATTATATATAAGGTCACACTTAACTTGCATTCTTATTAACAGGAGCTAGATCCTAGTTTTCTGACAATAAAGGAGATAGCCTACAAGAGACCAAGATAAATCTCACACTTTGCTTTCCCTTCTTAACATATATCACTGTCCTGGACAAAAGCACAGTCAGTATTGAATTTAAATAGATACACCCATTACTTGACTGGTGAATTTTGATGTGTGTGGTTTCTTGGGACCCCAAGTCCTTCTTGTGACAACTCATGTGCAGTGCTGATACTCAAGATCATGAGCAGTCAAACATTAACCAAAACCAGTGAAAACCACATAAAATAAGTTACTTTAAAAGTTATAAATCAGTTTCCCTCTACCAAGAAATTGTAATTCAAATGAAATCTTAATTATATTATCAAAGTGAGTCTTACTTCCTTAATTGCTTAGCCAGGTTAACATGTGAAAAATATCCCTTTAAAATTTTGCTCAAACATTATGTGACCAGATAATGCTTTTAGGACTTTTTCTGTAGTTGTTTACTTTAGTAAGACAACAGAGTCAAATTTCATCATTTGCTTTTTAGCTAAAATTCTAATAGTATAAAGATTTTCAAATGCAAGTATATTCATAGTGAATGATCTAAATAAACTGTGATAGTATTTTATTAAGAAAAAACAAACTTTTTCCTCAAAGCGATCTTGAATGGCTTTGAAACCTAGTATCAAACACTAATGAAATAGAAATATTGGTGCTGAATTTAAAATTGTCCAGTTAAGATCCTTCATTTTATAGATGAGGAAAGTTGGCTTCCCCAATTCCACAACAATGGTGATGAGAATGAAAGCTAAAACCATCGACATCTCTCATTACAACATGGAACCAATATTGAGGTACCAAGTACCAAGTAATGGCCTGGTGTTGGGTATCACCAAGAAATAATAACAAGGGACAGAAGCCAATACATTAAAAAAAAAGGAATGAAAGACAGACACAGTGCAAATATCAAATAAAGATATATATAAAAAATTATTTACAAAGATGTTCTTTGCAGTATTGTATATAAACGTGAAAAGTTAGAAGCAACTATATGTCCAAAAATAGTAGCAGCTCCATTCAATGTTAGAATACAAAGCAACCATTATATGGTTGATAATTGGTGGTACTGGGGTTTGAACTAGGGACTTGCACTTGCTGGGCAGGTGCTCTACCACTTGAGCCACACCTCAGTCCTTTTTTTGCTTTAGGATCTTATGTTTTTGCCCAGAGCTAGCCTTGGACTGTAATCCTCCTACCTGTGCCTCCTGCATGCTTGAGATTGCACATGTGGTTATTACTATGCCCAGCTTGTTTGTTGAGACAGGGTCTCATTAACTTTTTTTTGCTCAGGCTGGCCTCAAACCATGATCCTCCCAATTTCTGCCTACTAAGTAGCTTGGATTACAGTCACTATGCCTAGCCTATACATCATATTTTGAAGAATATTTGACACTTAGGAAATGCTTGTGGTTTATTAAATGCAAAAAAGCAAACAAATAAACAAAAAACACTGGTAGACTATACACCCACACACTGTAGTGGTTACCTCTAGGGATGATATTACAGGTGAATTTTCCCATTGTTAGTTTCAGAACAACTTTATGAAATTTTCCAAATGTTTTTCAGCAAATATGATTTATGACTTTAATGGGACAAATAAATTTTAAATAAACATTTTATTAAGAAGGAAAAAAATTAAAGAAGAATGTTACATTTTCATTGATTTCTAGACATGCCCTTCATGTGATTCTTATGAGAAAAAGCCACCTAAAGAATTCCTAGAAAGACTGAAATCTCTTCTCCAAAAGGTATGTACCTTAAGTTACATGTGATTTCATGTTGTCTTCACCCGTCTGATGGCTCTGTGCTCAGATTACTCACGTATACTGTTTCCACAGATGGCACATCAGCCTCTTTCCTAGAATACATGGGACGTGGCGATTCCTGAGGAACTAACTTGAAGCTGGACACTATAGTACATACTCTAACACAGCACTGGGACTCATTTATTGGTATTCCAAGTGGAGAAGTACAATATATTAGTGATGAAGAAAACTCAGAAAAGTGCAAGGTTAGGATTATTTCCCTCAAATTATTGCGATTCAATCCATATGCTCTGTGTTTGGTCAACTTGGGAAAACTTTCTACTCAACTGGAGTCTGAGTTCTTGCATAATGGATTTTTGTGACTTCAGAAGTCTTTATCTTACTGCTCAGCATTTTTTGATTGAAGGAGAAGGCTAAAATTTTTAACTAGAAATACAGTTTGGGAATTTATTGATCTTATGTTAAACTTGATCTTGACTACTACAAAAATGAGATCTATTATGATTATAACTTAAAAAGCATATACATTCATTCGAGCTGAAAATATAGATGCATAAGGTCAAAATGGAAATTGAAATGTTTATTCTTTTAAGAAAATGAAAACTGAGCACTTGAAAACATGTTTAAAGAGTTTACTTTTTATCCTGGAATGTCTAACTATAAATATGTAATTTACTTATGCACTTGGGGGATAAGTACAAAGACTCTTCTGTATTAGGTTTATCAAAAATATTTAAATACTATAGATGTGAATGTATTTATGGAATAGACTTTTAGCTTTTCTAGTTGTTTTCTTTAAAGTGGTATCAGAGTATCAAGAAGTGGTTTAATAATGCCTTCTCCTGACCCCAAGTCCCTTTATAAGCTAACATTTTAAGCTTGTGAAAATGACAACTAAAGGCTATAGAGGGACATACTCAGATAGTCTTCTGGAACCAAATAGAGTTAAAAGGTTTTGTAGCTCTCTTCTCAAATAGTTATGGGTATATTGTGAGTGATCTGATAACTCTTCATGTCTGTTTCCTTTCTTCCATCTTTTTTTTCCTTTCTTCTTTTTAAAATGAAATTTTTGTGATGAAGACGTTTCAAAACATGTTTACCTTTGATAAAGCAAATTCTATCACCTATATAAAATGAAAATCAGGAGACAAATCAAAAGGCCAGGAGTCCTGCCCCAATTTTAAACAGACTTTTACTTAGACATTGCAACCTTTCAACGATGGGTAGTAAAACAAGCAACCTGCTCTAACTGCCCTTTCATATTAATTTTGATAGAATTTGTCTAAATATGAAGCTAAAACTCCAGAAAAAATAAAAAGTTTTGCTAGAATGTTATAAGCTATTTCAAAATTTCTTCTTGTTAAAATAGATCTGAGTGTGCAAGAGGATGTGGGATGGGAAACATTTTATGCCCTGAGAATAAAACTTATGTACTTAAAAGTGTATTTAAAACATAGGCTTAATTTATAGTTCTAAAACATAAATTGAAAATCAGTTATTTAATCAAGTCTCAGTGGAGTGTTTTATTATCAGAAAAAGGTACTCTGTTTAAAAAAATTTAAGTGTTATTAGAAAGAAATTATATAAATATGTACTTATTGATGATAACATGCATATAAAGTCTGCCTATGTGTCAAATGGTGCCAGCCCTTTAAGAAATATTAAACATTTTTTAAATGAAATCAGGCACAATGAAGCAATACTTCAGAAAGAGATTATGGAGAAATATGGAGTCCATACTTTTTTGTTTCTGGCTTTACACCTGTTGACTTCTTGACATTGTGATTTTATATTTAAAATAATGTGTTTATTGTTTGATCAGTGTCTCTACCCTAAAAGTAAAAACTATTTAATGGGGCATTGGTTAAGAGCCTAAATAGTTTTATAAACTCCCACCAGCACCCAAGGAAAAGTCATGCTTATAATAAACAAAATGAGGGGAGACTTGAACAGTTCCATCTTCACTTCTCTGGGTTCAAGACTTAGCCAGTTCTTAAAAGATGTAGAAGGAAAAGCCATAAATGTCACTGGTCCCCTGTGGATAGTGATACAAAATCCCGAAATACTCTTGTCTGTGAAATTTTGGAAACTTGCTTAAACTTTTTGGGTTTCCATTTCCTTATCTGTAGAACAAGGGTGCTGAACTTAATCTCTAAAATCTATTATGCATTTTTAGAGCTTTATATGGCTGAGTCTATAAAGTTCTGGGTACTCTTATAGGAACATCTGACTACACTTCTGAATAAAACTCTGTACTGAGCCTGATGTTCAGTTGCTCAATATTATGTCAATAGCATTTATAGCAACAATCACTGCAGGAGTCAAGGAAATGTTCCAAGAGAAAGAGGAAGGATGAAGGAAAGAAGGAAGGAAGGAAAGAGTTATGATTTTTACTATTATAGCTAAAAGTGTCTGCTTTGGACACTTGTATAAAATTGTAGCATTATCATTCTATATTATTGCTCTATTGTATTTACATTTGCATCTGAGAATTTAGTTTTAATATAAACTATGTACTTTATAACTTAATGATTATTTATTATATATTTGGTTTTGAATGTTTATGTTCATGGCTTCTTATTTAAGACCTGATCATATTAAATACTACCCAGCCAGTAAACTGTCTTTTGTGATTCCCTGATAACCCTTAATTCAATAATCTTGTCAGAAAATAAAAAAAACAATTTTTAGTTTCTGGGAGCATACAGTTTTTATATATGTCTGTGGTAAAGATAATTTTTCCTTACCTGCTGCTGCTACTGCTGCAACTGCTGCTGAATTAGAACTGCCATTTTCTGTTCCAGCTTCAGGTATACCACTTCCTTTGCAGCCCAAATGTATAACAGGTCTGGGAAAAGTTGAAGATATCCTTCCCAATGCCTACTGCCACCATTACACATACACTCATGTGCAAAACTCCCTCCTACATTCAAGTTTATCCTAGTTAGCTGTTTTTGTCCTCTTCTTAGTGATAGATTATCATCTATTGGTTATGAATTCATGTTCACTGGGGACTTGGGTGTGTTCCTTGCCTTGAATCCAATGTCTGCCATCATTGTGGGAGATTTCACTGCCCATGGAGATGATTCTCATATTGCAGCTTTCCAGACCTTGACCTTCTCAGTTCTGAGCACTTGCATTCCTACCTATGCCATCCTATGGTCACTCCCATGGCCATGCCCCAGACTTTATCGCCTGGAATTCTTATCTCTCTGAAATCTTTACATCCATAAAACTACTACCTGCTTGTCTTTTAGCTCAAACTTCCCTACTTCTACTGCATCTGACCTGGCACCCTGAAGGCAAGTCTTCACCCCTCCCCATTCACTCATTAGTTTCCTTCTCTCCCTCTCTGAACCCCAGCCGCAATCAGTCCTTTGAAGTACAGTCCCAGGAGCACATGCCATGTCTTCCTCTGCTCATTCTTATGGAGTACCTGCCTGCAAACTCTCTGCCTTGCTGATTTACACTTGATTCACTTTTAGACCTTGATGCTGGCCCCTCACCTTAGGGATCCTTTCAAACTCCCTACGTAGTTTACTGGAGTCACTTTCTCACCCCACTCTCAGCTCTGAGCACTCACCTGCTTTCCACGTATGTACCAGCTTCATCTATTTAAGTCCCCAGTCAGCCTGGGCATGGCCTTACCTCATGTGATAAAGAGGGTCAACCTCATTAAAAGAATAATCTGCATACATATGTCTATACTCTCTTACCTCTTATCCACTCATCAAACCACTATACTCTGATTTCTACCCAGCCCATACCTTATCACTGTATTATTAAAACTGTCCTGGCTCTGATTAACAATGATCTCCTAATCACCCAACTCACAAGTGTGTCTATGTCTTTATATTGGTCTCAACTTGACTTTTGCTACCTAACCCTAAAAACTCCTTTTCTTTTCTCTCTTTGATTTTGGAGGCTTCTTTTTGACTGGTTGTTGTTACCTCTCTGACTAGCTATTCTCAGTGGCAGTTGCTGGTTTGCTTTTCTGTGTCTTCTCCATAGAACTGAATGTTCTATTTTTGGCCACCTTTCACTTTAAGTCTTCTCCCTGAATGCTCGAATGTGTTCCTGTTGTTTTAAATATTCTCTATTTGTTGTTGACCCAAATCCACAGCTAAAGGCTTGACCCTCTTCCCTACCCCAATAATTCACAGGGCCAGATATCCAACTTCTTCCTGAAGATTTCCATCTTTTCACTCCTCTGGGCCTTTGCACGTGCAATTACCTCTCCTAGAATGTTACCCTTCACCTTCTCCTAACGTGTACACTTCCATGTGTTTGTCAGTAACTAGCTTGATCATCATCTCCTTAGAATAATTCCCATCACCATCAGTGACCGTGAAAACCCCACCCCACTTTCAGAGCTTGAACGTGCTTTATTTATTGTTATAAGTCAGTTTCCCTTTGTAGAATGTAAACCTCATGGCAGGAGGAACAGCCCTTGCTAGCACAGTGCCTCATATAAGGTAAATAACATTTAGTTGAACCAAATGTTTACAAAATTGAGAAAAACACAAAATAGACAACTTACTCCTCAATAGCTTCCTTGATAACTTTTCATTCGCTTATATGCTGAATCCATTTATCATCAAAGCCAGTCAATTCTGTTTTAGAATATCTCTAGATATCACTTCTCACTACCTTCAGCTTCCATTTGTTCAAGGCCATTACAGCATCTCACTCAGATGATTATAAATATAAAACTTCTGAAATAGTTTTCCTGCTTTTGTCCTTGTCACTCACTAAAATCTATTTGCAATCTGAATGGACCCTTTAAAAACAATCAGAGTATGCCACCTTTGGGAACCTCCCAGGCTCCCACATCACTCAAGGTAAAAGTCTAAGTTCTATAATGAGGGCAGCTTGCTCAGACCTCTCCTATTCCCCACCTCTCTACCTCATTTTCACTCATCTTAATTTGGCTCCAGCCACACTGGTGTTCTTGTCTTTCTCCAACATTCCAGGAACACCCCCACATAAGACATTTGTACTTTCTTTTCCCTCTGGAGTGTTCTGTCAAATGCTCATGTGGCCCATTCCCTCAACTCCTTCATAGACTTGGCTCAACTGTTATCTTCTCCAGCAGGTCTTCTCTGACTATTTTAAATTGCAATATTGTCCCCCAAACACCACTGTTTTATTTTT